ATCCTAATTAATCATTAATTTATAATTTATAAGACTAATTAAATATAATAAATTCTATCTATTCAATTTAAATTACAAGTAATTTTATTTTCTTTAAATCAAAATCAATTTGCTTAAACTAAAAATAATTCTCCCTAAGTCAGGCTTCATTTAGAACAAATTTTATACTTATTTTCGAAACAATTTTTTAATACAAAATTTTTTGAATTAGAAATTTTTTACTAAATAACTGCTTTATAAAGCAGCAAGAAAACTATCTCAAATGAAATCTTAAAACAATTTTGTAGTATAAATTTTTTTATACTAAAAAATAACTTTAAAAAACCCGTCACCAACAAAGCCTTAATTTAGTTCAATCCAAAAATTTGATATATTAAATAGAATATATAATCTTTTTAAAAATATTGCAAAATGATTTTTTACAGAGAAATTTCGGTTGAATAAAAAATCAACAAAAAAAAAAAATCTCATTTTTAGCTCAACTTCAATTTAATCCAAACTAAAATAAAAATGTTTATTTTCCAAGCTAGAAGTTCAAAACTAGACTACACCAATCATCATCATTCAGAATAAAGACAGAAATTTTAAAAACTGAAAACTTTTCCAACGCTCAAAGCTAACTCGAATTATAAATATTTGAATTATCAGTACGTTTATCTTAAAATAATTTAAAAACTTTGAAATTCAAACTAAATAATTTTTTACCAGAATAATAGAAGATTATTTGGTGCGGAGAGCGCACGACGAGAACCGTCTAGATTTGCTACATTTTTACAGTCATTTTACAAATACTCAGCAAAAAGGCAACAAATATGCAATTATGAATGCACTTTTGCTGAATATTTACTGTGCTTTTAAAAAAGGGCAGCAAAAATGTTTTAAAAGCACAATAAATATTCAATTAGTAGGATATTTGATGCGCTTTTGTAAAAGCCCAAGCACAGCAAATATCCAACTAAAATGCATTCATAATTGTATATTTGATGATCTTTTGCTGAGTATTTGCAAAAGCACAACAAAAGGGCAATAAAAACGCAACAAATCCAGACGGTTCTCGCTGTTCGATCTCCGCATAGAATAATTCCACCCCCCAGGCCCCAACTCCTTCTAGTTGACCTCCCCATTCTTCACCGAAGAATTGATCAAGCTTATCATTATTGCCGCTCGTCATGCATGATTATTACACATATCCTTGCGCACTGAACCTTTGAACTAACATCTGGGTTCTCCATTTAGACCATTAGTTCTCACAATGTTGCCCATTAAGCTTTTGCTGCAAGCTTTGATGCCTTCTATCATTGGCTAGCTTCGAAGATTCTGCAAGAGACTTTTACCAAATTCATCACTTGTGTCATCAAATCTAGTCTCCACCATAATTACATTTCTCTATTAGAGGTGTCAGATCAACGGGTCAAATTTAGGTTGAATCTGACTTGACCTGGCCTTAAACGGGTCAATACTAATCCGACCCAGAACACTAACCCGACCCGGTTTTGCAAAAGGGTCAAAATTGTCAACCCGGACCAACTCATGTGGGTTACCGGGTTGACTCGACACGACCCGTGAGGGAGGGGCAACGACATTTGGCTCTCAAGCGGGACGGCGGCAGGCCGGCAACGGCTCTTAGGCAGAACATCGGCAGCAATAACCGCAGCTCACGGGCTGGACTGCGTCAGCGTCATGATAGGTCGTCACATAGAACTTTGTTCGGACACCCTATCACAATATGGAACTACTTACACCACTAAATTTTCATCCTAAAAACGATAACATCATATGCTGATCATAATTAAATTGCCGTAATGCCCTACAAAGATTATAAGTTATTACAAATATTCTGAATTGGCATGTATTCCTCAGTCCTTACATAAAAAACTTCGAAATACAAAGAATGGAGAGTGTTCCACTATAATTCCAGTGCATCCAACAAAAAGAATTCAAAGAACATACAACAACAGCATTGATACATCATCCGAAAATTATCTTAGTAATATTAATTTATTTAATCTGATATTAATTATGAAGATTAATTTACATTTTCAATTGCTAAATATTATTTAATTATTTTTAATTGATATTTCTTATTAGATATTATAAAATTATTTTAAGAAGTAATAAAAATGCCTAAGGCATAAAGGAGAAATATAATTGTTCATTATGCATGGCTGTATAATATGCTTATTAATCCCCCTATTTTTTTATCAAATTAATTTTTTATAAATGTAGAGCCCCCTCAAAAGAGGAAATGAGGATAGGTTTTTAATTGAAAATCAGTTAATGATTAATTAAATTTTATTTTCTTGAAATCAAAATCAATTTGCTTAAACTAAAAATAATTCTCCCTAAGTCGAGCTTCATTTAGAACAAATTTTTTACTGCTTTTCAAAAGAAATTTTTAATCCAAAATTTTTTGAATTAAAATTTTTTTACTAAATATCTACTTTATAAATCAGCTAGAAAACTATCCCAAACGAAACCTTAAGACAATTTTGCAGTATAATTTTTTTATACTAAAAAACCATTTAGAAAAGCGGTCGCCAACGAAGTCTTAATTTAGTTCAATCCAAAATTTATTTGATATATTAATTAAAATATATAATCTTTTTTAAAATATTGCAAAATGATTTTTTACAGAAATTTTTTGTTTGAATAAAAAATCAACAAAAAAACTATCATTTTTAGCTCAACTTCAATTTAATTCAAACTAAAATAAAAATGTTTATTTTCCAAGCTAGAAGCAAACTAACTCAAAACTAGACTACACCAATCATCATCATTCAGAATAAAGACAGAAATTTTAAAAAATGAAAACTTTTCAAAGGCTCAAAGCTAACTCGAATTAAAAATATTTGAATTATCATTACATTTATCTTAAAATAAATTTAAAAACTTTGAAATTCAAACTAAATAATTTTTTACCAGAATAATAGAAATCGTAATATAAATATATAACAATAATCCTATCTCCACTAACATGACATTTGAGCCAAATTGCTTTGAATCATCCACTAACTAACATTTTCCGGTTGTGATCTTGGCATAAGCTAACCCGTTAAGGGAAGATTATTTGGTGCGGAGACCGGACAGCGAGAACCGTCTGGATTTGCTACGCTTTTACTGTCCTTTTATAAATACTCAGCAAAAGGACATCAAAAATGTAATTATGAATGCCCTTTTGCTGAATATTTACTGCGCTTTTAAAAAAGCAGCAAAAGCATTTTAAAAGCGCAATAAATAACCTACTAAAGTGCATTCATAATTGCATATTTGATGACCTTTTGATGAGTATTTGCAAAAGCACAACAAAACGACAATAAAAGCGCAACAAATCCAAACGGTTCTCACCGTCCGATCTCCGCATAGAATAATCAGGACAGACTCACACACACATCACATATGCAAGTTTCGAACCAAATTTTTTTTCGATGATAGTCAAAACTCCCAACAAACAGATCAAAAAGAGTTGCGTGCCTCCTATGTGTTATCGTTGGCCTCAGCCCATCAAGACTCATCAACTTTTCATATCAATACCTAGATCATCGATTGCGATGATTCTCACACCATCGAACCCTCAAATTGCCATTCCCACTTCATCAAACTACCTGCCATGGTTCCTTCATCTTTCAATTCGTCACCTTGACGACTGCTTCAACTTCGACTGCTCTATCAACAAGCTCATTGTCGCAAACTCGTCCCTTTAACTCCATTACTCTGTAAACGAGCTGTTTTTTGTGACCTCTTGCATTTTCTTCGCCGAAAAATTGATCAAACTTTTTTATAAATCTCAACCATCTTCACAGATCTCTACTCCCCATTCTTCGCCCTAATTACATCTCTCTATTCTTCAATTCCATCGCAGAGCACATTAACATAGTCAGTTACTCCCTGGCCATCTTCACCAGATCATCTCTCTTATCGTCACTTTAAAACAATAGGGCGACAGACCATCGTATTCAAGAGACAAGTTGTTGTTGTTGTTGATGTAATTCTCTCATATTCTTCCTCTTTCTAATTTCACATGCCACATTAAAAAACGTGCTGAAAATATACTAAACTTCCATATGTAAAATGCATTACTTAGTTAGAGCATCTCCAACCGAACGTCAAACATGTATATGACATCGTTCAGTCGCTCCAGCGGAACTTCAAATCTTCCGCTATTTGCTTGTAGGTGAACAGTGCGACGGTAATATTGGCGTTGCACTGTTCACCAAGGTGATTTTTCTATCTCAACCCGATTTGCCGAAGAAACGCGCCAAAGAGAAGAAAAACGGTTAGCTTCGCAGAAGCTCGCAAAAAGGAGTTCGATTGGAGATTCATCACAACATTTTTGAGTTTCACTGCATTTTGGAGAGAAAAATGGGATTTTCGGTTGGAGATGCTCTTAAGAAAGAGATAGTTTAGCCGTCATACTTGCAAAAAAAAAAAAGAAACTTTGTTCAGACCCTATTATCACAATATGGAACTACTTGCACCACTAAATCTTCATCCTAAAAACGATAACATCACATAATGATCATAATTAAATTGCCGTAATGCCCTGTAAAGATTAAAAGTTATTACAAATATTCTGAATTCGCATGTATTCCTCAGTCCTTACATAACAAACTTCGAAATACAAAGAATGGAGGGTGTTCCACTATAATTCCAGTGCATCCAACAAAAAGAATTCAAAGAACATACAACAACATCAAGCATTTATCCCACTACGTGGGGTCGGCTACATGAATCATTTTTTCCCGTTGTGTCCAGTTAAGAGTCAAATTCTCATTTAAATCTAATAAAGAAATATCATTTCTAATATTTTATAACCAAGTCTATTTAGGTCTACCTCTATCTTTTTTAACATAAGCTAAACATAATACATCCACTCTCCTAACCAGGTTATGAGAAAGACTCCGTTTTATGCGACCAAACCATCGACGGAGACTCCATAATCCTATCTTCAACTGGAACTATTCCAACCTTTTCACTTATATGCTCGTTTCAAAGAACATAGATACATAAAACTTTCTATCTATACAGTTAACATAAATCAGCACAAAAAAGGTAAAAAATACATGTTAGTGAGTTCACTAGTATAAGAGTAGCAGTAATCATGTCCATTCTAACGGTCATGGTGCTTGTAATGGCTATCAAAATTCTAGCAATCTATGGTCATATATTCTTGACATAAGAAACAAGTTATTTGTTAGACAATAAGGCATCTTTTTACCATTTATCATCGCATAAAGAGATACATTTGAGGAACTATTGGACTTCAGGTGGCTCCATGAAGAAAAACTACAAAAGGAAAGCATAGAATAAATAAAGAATTAAGACTTCTTATATATATATATGGTTGAAAAACTTTTTCAAGAAAATAAAAACTACCACGTTAAGTTACCTCAAAAGACTTCCCAGCTCTTTCGAACTCAAGCATGCTCAGAGCCACTTCACAACTCTGAGATACAATAGGTTCAGGATCATTCGTGAATTCTTGGAGGAGTTGAATACTTTCACTATCTACAACATGAATAAGTGAATTAATTATGGCATCTCAAAATACTTAAATCTAAAAAACAAAAAAAAAAGTTTAATGGAAAATAAGAAAGAAATAAGGAGCATTGGTGAAAGATGGATGGAAACAAAATTCAAAATCAAATTTAAGAACTCAATCAGATAATAAGTAATGGTATGACAAGCAGTCCAGTTACACAAGCAGAGATTACCACTTGTGAAGAATCCCAGACAATCGATTTAATGGATCTAAAGGCAATCGACACAAGATGCAAACTCAAATGTAGGTTCAGAAATATGTAAAACTTAATATAATAATAAATAGTCTGCAATGACAAGCATGCCTACATGCACAAAGGGGAGAGATTATTACGTGCGGTGTCCGGACCGTTTGGAGGCGAATCCGGACGCGCCACGTCAACCGGGGGCCAGCACGTCACCCGGATGTACTGGGCCCAAGGTGATGTGGCGCGTCAAGATTCGCCTCCGGATGAATCCGAACGCCGCACGTAATAATTTTCACAAAGGGAGACGACCATTTATTGAGAACCCAGACTCCCACAATAAGTCAATAAGCAGCAGAAATTCACCTGCGATTGAGCCAAGGGCTTCAGCAGCTTCATGTCTAACCATTGGATGCTCATCGACATTTTTAATTATATCAGCTAATGCTGAAGCAGCCATCTTATGTTGCAGTTGGCCCAATACATATGCAACCTTGAATGCAGAGTAGATAAACATTTTTAGTTTATTAAATTTAGAAGAAAAAAAAAGGCGCCAAGGAAGATCCAATTCTTTCATAACTGTAAGTAACCCAATTTCTTTAAAAGCTGCAGCAGAAAGAATGACAGAAATTAAGTTTATAAAAATAGGAACTACAATCTGATTTAGATTTCCCAATGGTACTTAAAAAGAATTGCATTTGCAACATAAACTGTATCGAGGTGTCTGGAAAGGTGTTAATTAGGAAGAAAATGAAGCAATGCTAGCCCAAAAGAAACATCTAATCAAGATGAGCATATAATTTATCCAATGACAGTAACACAGTAAAAAAGAGAGGATGTGCATACCCTCAGTTCTCTTCCCTTAAGCCAGAGTGTTTTTACAAACGAAAAGAAATATTTTAGGTGGAAGGAAACATCACATGACTACCACAACCCAAACGAACACTGAAAAGCCTAGAACCTCCGTACAATAAAGTTTCCCCCAAGAATGCCCATCAATAATATTAGTCAGTAAATTTATATGAAGAAAAGTAAGATGATTAACAAAATAAAAAATAATTACAATCTCCTCTAATATGAATTATTTGTGATACATCAACTAACACGGCCAAAGAACACGCACTGCATAATTTCCAGAAGAAACATCACTTTTGAAATTTAATTATTGCATTCGGTGCGTTTTTAGTATCAGTTACCAAATTATCTATATATCTATACAATCAGATCAAATGCCCTTTGGAAATTATAACAACAACAACATCAAGTCTTTATCCCACAACATGGAGTCGGCTACATGAATCTTTTTCCTCCATTGTCTCATGTCAAGAGTCAAATTCTCATTTAAATCTACAACAACAACATCAAGCCTTTATCCCACTATGTGCGGTCGGCTACATGAATCCTTTTTCTCCATTGTGTCCTATTAAAAGTCAAATTCTCATTTAAATCTAATAAAAAAGGTCATTCCTAATATTTTCTAACCAAGTCTTTTTAGATCTATCCCCACCTTTCTTAACACACGTCAAATCTAATACCTCTACTCTCCTAACTGGGTCATCGGAAGGCCGCCTTTTTATGTGACCAAACCATCTAAGGCGACTCTCTAATCTTATCTTCTACTGGAGCTACTCCAACCTTTTCACGTATATGCTCATTTCGTATCCTATCTCTAAGGGTAAAGCCACTCATCCA